ATATAATTTTACAGCACAGGGATGACAGTCAGTTATTATTCCAAATCTTGATTCTTTGCCATTCACTTCTATCCAAGGAATTTGGACAGGTGTGATGTTTAGTTCAGGTAACAACAATCTGTAAATAGTTGCATGGATGATAGCTAAAACTTAAATATAGAGTTGGGAATCTCATTTGATCACTGGTAGCACTTGCCAATATGGTAAAACATTATAATTTATGTTTGAAATACAAATCAAAACCTCCAAATGCCATTTAATTCCTTCCAGATTGGCAAAAATGAAAAAGTCAGACAGTATCAAATATTGGATAGCATTTAGAACAACTAGAATCTTTACTCAATATTGATAGGAAAGTAAATCACTACACCCACTGTGGAAAACAACTTGGCATTATCTCCTAAAGCTGATGTGCCTTTGATCCATCACTTCCATTTCCACGTGTACTCTGGGAAGACGATTTTTACACAGATGTGTCAGGAACAAGCTCAGTGATATTTGGAGAAGCTCTATTGACAAGCAAAAAGGTAGAACCAGCCCAAACATCCGTTGAGACACAGTAGGTGAGTTGTCACTTAGTCATATGATGTTGTATAGAAAAATGAAGGGAAAGCTGGTGGCTCAAATAATAATTTGGAGTTTGCTCTTGTGTCGGGGCAATGTATGAAGAGCTGAGTGAGATTTGGTTCAAACTGAAACTGTCAGGTAGTCCTCAGGTGAATAAACTTCAGACCATAATCTTGAGAGAAATATAGGTTTCTTTTTTTTCTGGTACTAGGGATCAAACCCAGGGCCGTGTGCTTGCAAGGCAGGTGCTTATGCCACTGAGCTATCTCCCTGGCCCCTCCATCTTCAGAGAAATGATACATATGTGACTTCATTTATATAAAGTCAAAGGTAGAAAAAAAATCAAGCAATATTTGTGTAGGCATACAAGCATTTGTGGTAAAACAGTAAGACAAAGTGAATAATGAGGGCCAGGGATATAGCTCACTGGCACAAGAACCTGCCTAGCAAGCGCAAGGGCTTGAGTTTGATTCTCAGTACGAAACAACAACAAAAGTGACTAATGATCACAAAATTCAGTATGAGAGGGACTGGAGACCTTGCAAGTCATCGTTACCCCTTCTTTTCTACTGGGTAGTACAGTCATGAATGTGTCACTCTTATTTATAACTTACATATGTTTTATAGACACCAATTTTTGTGTCAGTTTCACATTTAATAAAAACAACTTTCAACCTTCTGTATGTAGCAGCACCACCTGTTAGCACCTTTTATATTAACATTCTCATAGTCAAGACTATTACTTTTTTTTTTTAGTACAGGGTCTACAGTGTCTCATTACACAGATCAGAGTGATCCTCCTGTTTTCAGCCTCCCAAGCCCTGAGATTACAGGCTCGCACCACCACGCCCAGTCTCAATCACCATCTCAGTGTTTCCTGGGGATTGAACCCCAGCTGCTGCACTCTGCCTAACCACGTATTACTTATTTTTAGATGATCACTCCTCAGTACTGTGGCCTTGTATCGTGTGTAATGGCAGCATGCAGAAATGGCCCCCACCTGGTGGCATTCATGCCCCCAGCTGAGTTCTCCACTCTCCCCGCATGTGTGACTCACTCTGCACAAATAAAATAGGGTGAAGGTGGTATAATGCAACCACAGAGGTTAGCTTACAAAAAGACTGCGGCTTATGTCTTGAGTGCTCTCTTTTGCTCACTTGCTCTGAGGAAAAGCAGAGCTGACTTATCAGCTGTCCTGTAGAAAATCTATGCGTTGGGGCTGGTGAGATGGCTCAGTGGTCTAAAACACCTACTTGGAACAAGCTAAGCAAAGCACAGGGACCGCGGTTCAAGCCCC